ACCTTTGTTCAAGTCTAGACTGCAAAGTTTTAAGAATCTCCTTGTTGGTGTTGTTACTCTCCAGACCTGAATTGCAAGCAAAAAGAGAAGCAAATAAGTCCGCTTTATCCTTAGCCACATGCGCCTGTGAGCTATCCGGTTTTAGCCGCGGAGGCAGTGTAGTCTGGCAGAAGTTTGTCTCGACCGCATTGACGAGTAATCAAAAAGCTCTATTGCCAGATGGTTTTGCACCAATGCGTTTCATGGACTCGAAACTGACCTGCCGTAATGCCGCTTTGCAAGATTTGATTTTTTGATTATTATTTTATTTTTGATTTGATTTGGCGGCTTGGTTATAGGCTCTCTTCTTGTGGCTGTTTGCCATATACTTGTGCTATTCAGCACGAGTGCAGTCGGCGTTGAACCATGCGGGACCTTTACCACCAAAGTGCATGTAAGCAAAGGAGATTAAAGTCTACATTGCTTGACGTATCACATCGATAATGGCATCTCCAAAGCTCGGCGGATCTTCAAACGAGAAGCATACCGGCCGCCAAGGATAAGATACAAGGAAATGCCTCATTTATAATATTACAACAAAACGAGTGCGCGAAATTTTATAAACAGACCTTTGGGAATCTGGATATCATGAAAAATCTATTAAATGTATCTGTTCAAAATAAAATTATTTGCACTTTTGAACATCTAATCCATCCCTGTATGGTAATTGTTTTGCAATTTTCGTTCTACTTATGGTATTTATTTCCGCCCAAGGATGTGTTAAAGTTAGTACTTTAAATATATATTATGTTTTTACGTTTTTGTTTCCATACGGGGCTAGATAATGATGAGACAAATTGAAATTATTTTTTATTTTGAACGTACACCGTCAAACAGTGGAGTAATCGCCAGACTACGTTTGTATGGAAGAATGAGTGGCTAGTGTACCCTTAAATATTCACACAGCTGACATTCGTTATCCTCATCTAACAAGCGGCGTTGCGCGCTAACTCTCTCTCTCTCTCTCACTTTTTCTGGGATATCCCGCGTATTTAATAGATAGCACTCCTAATTTGCGGCTGCTTTTTCACAGGCAGCAATATATCATCGTATTAGAAAAAAAAATTTGCTGTGATTTGATATAAAAAACATCCGTGTGCATCATGAACGTATAAATAGATGAAAATATTACCTGTTTACACCAGGCTGCGAGGTAGTTGCGGCCGAGTGTGCAACGGCACCTACGGATTTTAGAATTCTATACACGCATTCCTATGATGTGGATGATATTTTATTTAAAAAGGAGGCGAACGATTTTTTTTTCGAATATTAATTAACATTAATTTAAATTACTTACGGTCACTTTTGAATGGCTGCAGTTATCAGTGTATTCTCCTATTCATAAAAGTAAAAAGTAAAGTAAAGTTACAGCCTATATACGTCTCACTGCTGGGCTCAGGCCTCCCCTCATTTCTGAGAGGGTTTAGGGCAAGGAAGTGTCCGCCGCGCTGCCCAAATGCGTATTGACGAACTTCACATGTCTTCGAAATATTTTTTCTTATTCCTCAGACATGCAGGTTTCCTCACGATGTTTTCCTTCACCGCCGAGCACGTGGTAAATCAGCACTTAAAATTGCAATTAACAATTTCATTGGTGCCGGCGGGGATCGAACCCGGGTTACTCGCGTTCTGTTAAGTGACTGTGCTAAATTAATTATTTCATATTTAGGTAATAAAACGCAAACAGTCATCATTAATAATATGTTCTTCCAGGTCGATAGTACAAACGGGCGTGCCTCAGTGCTCAATTCTCGGCCCTTTTCTGTTTCTTGTAAAAATTAATGACTTACCTTACATAGAAGAGGATAACCATGATATAGTATTATTTTCTGATGACACTTCATTAATTTTCAATTATATATAATAATTATAACCATGATATAGTATTATTTTCTGATGACACTTCATTAATTTTCAATTTAAAAAGACATTTACTAAGTTATGACCAACACTTTAGCTATTTCCATAGCGTAATGTCGTATGGTATTCTGCTACGGGGACATGCGACTGACACTGAAATTATATTTGTTTTACAGAAGAATGCCATCAGAGCAATTTATAATTTTAAACCTAAAAGAGTCTCTCAGACATAAATGAAAGGAAATTAATATATTAACTTTGGTCTCTCAATAAATTTATGAAAATGTAATGTATGTACACAAAAAAATAAATGTACAATGGTTGGGCGATGGGCCTAGGGGTTCCTAAGTTCGATTCCCAGGCCGGGTCTTGACCCTATTATGCGAGATGTTACCAGATGGATTGTATGTGCGGTTTCTTGATACCTCAAAACAAGATGGCTGACGTGGCACGCGACATCCTTGGACGATGCACTCGCTCTTCCTAATCTATCATTTCACCAGTGTCAGGGGAGGTTCACTGGAGCCGGTAGGAGAGAAGGTGTGACGGTAAAACAAAACAAAAAAGACTCAAGTGAATTAACGAAAAAATAATGAAAGAAAAGGGGGGAAAATGCACTTACCGGGGTCGGGTTCCTTCCGGTGCCGCTGTTGATGTTCCTTTTCTGGTGGTGTGTTGGAAGAGGACGGTGCGTGACAAAAACTCGCACTATGCGAGGCAGTTATTTCTAGCGGTTCTGTGGCCGTCTGCCACAAAGGTGCAATAACAACTAGCTGTGTAGACTACGATACGAAAGAAGGTGCGTGTCCTTATATTGACAGGCCACTTCCATCTCGGTGGGACGCGTTCCTCCATATGCCGAAAAGGTGGCACCATATTTTAGACGCCCCTCCCCCTTCAGTGCGTGTGGAAGGAATGTGTGGATACGAAAAGGACGGACACTGGCGAGCAATATACCCCCGAACAAAATTATGAGACTACCCGATTCTTTTTTCCGCGCAACCATACAAAAATAAATGATATTAATTCTAATAATGCTAGGAACAGACACAAGCTAGTAGTATAGTTACTCGACTCCGCCGAGTCAGTAATTAATTCTCGGGGCGCTGTATACGCTTTTACAACAAAATTCTAGTAAACATACAAAATTTGACCTGCACAAGTTTCTAAAACTTGAATAATTTAAAATATTAAGGAATTTATGGATGATAACCCCCTTTTTTCGTTATTTATTGTAACATACACGATTGTGTCTTTTTTTTAAAGTCCCACTGGGTTTCTTGCTGGCTCTCCCCCAGACAGAAGTTTTTTCGAACCAGTGGTAAATTAAAATAAGTGACATTTAATAAGTATTATTTATAATCAATATTGAAAAAAAAAAGTTTCTGTTTCTGTTTCCGTCTCAGGAAATAAGAGTATTGCGTTGAAATACTGTGCAGAACTCGGATTTTTGTGTGGTGCACTTTAATGGAGAGTGAGTGCAACTGATGTAAAGACTTAACTCTTCTTTTTTATTTTGCAGCAGTTGGACAAGGCGCCACACATATAGCCTAGCAAACAGAGTCGCAACATCGATAGTACTTAGTATGGAGACCGCGGGCGCCCGAACCCTCCTGGAAATCACCACTGGGCCCTCTCCTCCGGTCGTCAATCGTCTTGGTGGAGCCACCCCAGGATTATGCTTGAGATGGTGGGGCATCCTTTTATGAGTGGCTGGCTTATCAATTGGGCCCCCAACTATCTACGATCGTCCAGCGGTAAGACATTGCTTCGGATACAGCTATCTTCCATAACCGGTTTTCCAACACTAAGAAGAAGCGCTGCGCCGTTAACGGTTCATATGCGCAACGCATCTGTTCAGACTTATTCTCCTAAAGTTTCACCTAACGACGTACCGGAATACGACTTGCGTCATTTGGCGGTACATCTTTGTTATTTGTCGATATAACGAACCCTCGGTCGGACTTCTTACTAGTAGAACACCAACCTACCACTAGTATGTGGTGCTAGTCAATACTCATTTAGCACTACCTCGGGGATACGCGTACAGAGTCAGGTTTCAAGTAATTCCTAGGGACGCGAGCACCTTCATCCCTCAAAACTTCACTAACTAAAGTGGAGGCGTCAACGTTTTCAGTTTTAGAGCGTTTGTTACAAGGTCTATCTCAAAAACTAGTAAGGAGATTGATAATTAGGTCATAATATGTAACGCAATTGTTTTTATACGTAGTAGCACGAAGGGATTGACTAGACCGGGGTATGACAATGCTTTCACATAATACCAGCGTAAAATAGCAACTTTATGCTACAGTGTTTCGTATGGTGAGTGTAGAAAACCGGTGACTCTTTTTACTCAGGGGTAAAAAGATGTCTATGCGCCACAGTATCCACTTACTATCAGATGGCCTGTGTGGTCGTTTGTCACCCTGATCTTATAAAAACTTATTTTAAAATTTTTTAAAAGCTGTTAATATAAGATGTGGTAAACAAGGATGCGGCTCACCTACTTGTGAGTCATTACTACCCATAAACAACTGAAACACCATTCTTATTCAAACTTACTTTACTTGTTCACCAACTAACTAAAGGAGACATATTCTACAACCAGTAAGTGGAAACTATTTAAATTTTGTGAATAAATATTAGAAACAAAAATAAAGAAACATTTATGTGTCAAAAATATTAATCAAAAGTATAAAATGTGTTTGTAGTAGTGATAACTGATAATACGACGTAATTGCTTGTATGTGTGCTCCCGGCGATGCCAATCCTCCTACAAAGTAAGGTTGACAGCCATTCTATTGTGTATCATAGTATTCTATGAAAAATACTATTATTTTGCAGCTGCAAATATACGGACAAAATCTTCACTCCTTTATTTTAGCCTATGCATACAATAGTACTGTTTTATTTTGTATTTCACAAACATTGCGTAACAGACCTTATAGCCCGACTTTTAATTTATCTGGTAATAATTGTATAACAGCTTCCTGATAAGATGTTGTAAACAACGTACATACGCTGAGCTGATATGTAATCGAATGTTTAGTTACGGATTTTTTTTATCACTGCGAGCTCTGGAATTGTATTAGTTGGATACAATGCCGTGCTTAAAAATTTTAACCAATATTCCGAAGAGTCAAATACCTCGTGACTTTGTGGATAAGATTATACCACTATTAGCAAAAGTCTTGAAAAAGCCCGAAAATGTAAGTAGCTTTATACTTTTATTCTTCTAGCAATCTTATTACCATAAATCATAATCTTTTTGCCAATATTGTCTTATAATAATGGTAATGGGATATTACACTAAATTATTGTAGTCGAGATGTAAGAGGGACTCTCTTACTAATCATATTATCCCGTGGTTATCCTAGGAGACGACAGGGAAATTGAAACAGAAGGTGGGCAGTCAAAATAATTATTCTTATTATAATAACTCTTTTAAATTGAGAGGTGACCTGAACGAACAGCGGAACACTTTTTATTCAATCATACATGTCTATTAAAGTACACTGCTAAATATAGAATCTACATAGATTTCTTACTATATTATTGATTCATTACAGTAAGCTATCAAATTTTCAAAAAAATAAACTAAAAAGTTAAATAAATATTCGTTTATTGAAATTTCGAGTTAAAAATAAACAGTAGATATTATATCCTTTTTAGCTAATTACGTTAGCTGCGGCCGGAGGTTCGGAAAAAACCAAATTTACTTATAAAATATATTTAAAATAAAATTACAAATTGACAACAAAGAGCTTTGTGTAAATGAGTACGTGATATTTTATATACCCGGCACGTGGCTTGAATTGCTGCGCCTGCATTCCTGTCGGTTTACATAGCAACTGTTTTAGGTGTAGTAGTCAGCGATCTTCATATCATAGGTATATGTAACTCCTCCACCCTCAGAACGGCAACTATTTGAGTATGTTCAGGGAAAATGTTGCCGGAATTTCGGAGTTTCCATGATCTTCTAAATTAAGTGTTGGTGATTGCGCTGCTTTGCTCGTTTCTTTTCTGCATCTTGATATGTAGCGACGGGTGGCCAGTACAAAGATAAGGATACCTCCACTCGATAATATGATATAAAAGGGAATTGTCGTATGATATAATGTGTCACTTATGTCACGTAGTTGTACTGGTTATTGCATGACAATTTTGTCTTGGATGCTGTGTAATCCTTGGAGATGGATTGAGTTTAGGTGGATGCGGGTAGATGCCGTAGCTTGTTCCGGAGATCTGAAAGGTAGTCCAGTGAGCTTTAGAGGTTGACCTTTTATCTCATTATTGTCGTTGACGATGGTGAACTCGGCAGTTTTAAGAAGACAGCTGGCTGGAATCGTAATGAGCTAACTCCCTTGTAGCATGGTGAATTCTTTTTTTCCGCAAGACAATTGTACCTTGGTATAGTGTGGATAGGACAGGATATAATGCTGGTCATCTAGTTTCTCCATCGCTTCTTTTGACAGGATGATAGTAGTAAGATTGCAGGCTTCTTGTATGACTTGCTTGGTGATCAACTCTTGGATGCAATCGGGTTGTGTTCGAATCTGATAGGTAGTGCGTTCTTCACAGAGATACCAGTGGTTAAACTTCGGACATTCTGTCTCGATGTACACGAATGATAACTCGTTAGTTGCTATGAAGGGATAGGTTGGGATAAGGGCCTGTGAATTTTTATTTGGAACAATGGATAATCTATATAAATCAAAATTATCTCTGGAAGTTATAGGAAATTTAAAGATGAACACGATTTGTTTCTCCGTGTAATATGAGCCGGGTTTTATTACGTCATACTAGTCTCTGAGTTCTAAATTTAATATCTGATCTGAGCTGTAAATACTTCTAAGCTTACTTAACTTGGAACCTAATACATCTATATCTATCATAGAATGGTACGTGCTAGATGCACGAATAAAAGCTAAAGTGTTTTCTATTCTAATTAATTCTAGCATTAAGTCCTCTACATTATCACTAATTATTTCTAAGCATTGCGCGAATTTAGCGTATTTAATTAAACTAGTTTGCCCATATGCATTACTATTTAATATAAGTATCAAAGTCTCATTAATTTTCCTTTGATTTTCCGCTATCTCAATAATTGCATTACTATGCTTAGACATCCATTCTTTACTTAAGCTGAGATGTTGATCGAATTCGGATGCAACGCTCAGTTGATTATCCTTAAGGGTTTTAATTACCTCGTTATATCTTAACGCGTCTGTATAATCTAAGTTACCAGTTATGCTTTTTATGACTGAACCAAGACTATCTATAAGACCTCTTTTAGCTCTATTGGGCTCTAGGGTTCTGAGATGACTTAACACCTTGCCAAGTTTGTTAGACAGATAATCTATTTGGATTTCGTACAGTAAATAAGTATCGTTAGTCAGTTGGTTTTGGAAAGTCAGTAGTTGATTCTGTAGGGAGTGGATATTACCTTCAATGTCATCGAGTCTTACGTACTGTAAAAATGTATGGTAATGAGTAGTCAATTTCGTGGGTCCTAGTTTATACGGTAGTAGTCCTGGTCCGTCTGATAGACTTTCAAGTTTTATCTCTGTCGTCTGGGTCCTTTGAAGGAGCATTATTAGCAGTATCCTGCAACAAATTAACTGCTTTAGGAATACGCTTGAGCCGTGATTTTGCTACTGGACCACGTTTTTTAGATGTATATATATGAATGGGTAAATCGGCTAATACAGTGTCCTGAGTATAACGTGGTGCGGTTTTCTGGCGGGCGGCAGATGGTGTTTAATAAAAACTTGCTGCTGCGGCGCGTATTTTATTTCCGGTTCGCGGTCCTTATTCCTACTCTCTATAATGGCTGTGCGATTGGCTAGTGACGTGCTATTAATAATTTCGTACACCTTTTTCATTTGATCCCTATGCATCTGTACATACTGCTGTAGTAGTTTCTGGGTTATGTCGATGTCGAGACAGTCTCTATGGTCAAAGTGTCCCGTTAATAAGTCAAATGGTCGACATCCAGTAAAACTGTGTATTGAGCTATTGTAGGCTATTATTGCGTAAGGCATGAGATTGATGACCGGTTCGTCCTTATGTTGTAATTTTATAATTCTAATATGTTCCAAAAGGGTCAAATGGAACCTTTCAATATTACCGTTATTGTTAGGAGAATGGGCTAAAATACGATGGTGATTTATCTTATGAAGTCTAGTAAATTCTAAGAATAATTGGTTAATGAACTCTGTTCCGTTATCAGTAATTATTGTTAGGGGAACAGCGTGATGGGTACAATATTGTAGAAGGGCCTGTAATATACTAATAGCGGTTCTGTCGCGTAAATGGTAAGCTTGTCCATATTTTGTAAAAACGTCTATAAAAGTTACATATTTTCCACTTTGAACTGTAAAGAGGTCCATGTGAATTATCTCAAAGGGTTTGGTTGCAGGTGGTACTACATTAAATTGAGGTCTTACTGGGTTTCTATCATATTTGGCTTGTCCGCAGATGGTACACTCGTTAATAAATTTTGTAATATGGTCTTTCATTTTTGGCCAATAGTATTTGCGAGATAATGCTAGGTAACACTCATTAATACCACGGTGGTTGGTTTTACCGTCGTGATAGTGACGAATAATTTCTTGTTGTCGCAAGTAATCCTTAATATTCTCTAACTCGAATTTAGTTAAAACAAGGTTAAGTGAAGAGCTTTTAAATTTATCCTGTAAGATTGGTATTACTTTATATAATGCTAAAGGTGGGTTTATTAAGAGAGCTGTTTTGATTTTCGGATTGACGTACTCTTTTACAGCATTTATGACGTCTTCTTCGAGACTATTTTCCGATAGTTGAATGCTAACACGTGTATGGGTATCGAAGGGTTACGTCACAATGGTTTTTCGTTTAACGTCGTGTGACGGCCCAATATTATTATTAATAATTAAATTCAATATAAAGGGGCGTCTAAAATACTCTTAAAAGATATATATTAAGCAATTAAGTTAAATTAATAAACATAAAGTTAATATATTTCAGACATTATCCCAATAACATAGTAAATTAAAGGCAAAATTATTGTTTTTCGTAATAAATTTTATTTAAAAACTTGAAAAAATATTTAAAATAAGATAAATAATAGAAATACAAGTCAAAAAATATTATAAAATTAAGTTAAATAACGTTTATAAGATAATTAGAAAAATTGTTAAAAATTGTTTAAGTCATGGGAGGTGTTCGTGTATAAAAGAAAATTTTTCTAAGTTGTGGAAGGAGTTCACGTATAGATGAAATTTCCTAAGTTGTTGAAGGAGTTCATGTATTAAAGAAAATTTTCCTAAGTTATGGAAGGTGTTCACGTATAGATGTCTTGTATGGAGGAAGCTGTCGGAGGTACATACCTGCAGTTGTACATATATATGGGGTGGTCGGAAGCCCGACTGCCTGAAGTACTGTAGCACAATGACTAGTCCTATATTAGGGACTTATGATATTAAACTCAATGATACAAAAGCAATACTATAGAAGGTCTCCATGATGAATTTGTATTACAATAGTAGGGTCGTGGGTTCGAACCCTATATATTAATGACTTATGAAAGTAAGGTCTATGATACAAAAGCAATACTATAGAAGGTCTCTATGATTAATATGCATTACAATAGTAGGGTTGTGGGTTCGAACCCTATATATGAATGACTTATGAAAGTAAGGTCTATGATACAAAAGCATTATTATTGAAGGTCTCCTTGATGCATAAGCATTGTATGGGGTGGTCGGGTGACCGACTGCTCCTAGTACTGTAGCAAAATGACTAGTCCTTATTAGGGACTTGAAAAGGAATATTATGGTGGCGTGTGTGCTGCTTCACGAGCAATTGGTCCGAGGTAAACTTGGACTCGCTAACCGATGTGTCCTAGACATATCATCTTAGTGCCGGTGGTAAGCGGGTTTGTTGTAGCAATACGGCTTTCCCGTGGACATCGCACACCCATACCGGTTGTGGGCGGCGTCGTAGCGCATAGCGATGCGTCGTCTATCTTTCGGATTGGGAAGATGAGTGTGTTTGGTAGCACTTTTAAGTGTAACAGGCATACTCAACTTCATGTCTTAGTGCATTAGCGCTATGATACATGGAGTTTTGTCCACTGGCGTCTTAGTAGTATGCTACTATGAACGTTGGTGATATTTTTTATATAACAACAATAAAAACTTTGTTACCGAAATCGATAGGAGTCATG